CCGGCAGCTTGAAAAATTGCTATACCGAACGATTGCTACTATGAACAATTTCTGTGGATCCACATGTTCGTTATAGCAGCCTTCCACTGTAGGCCTATATACGTATCAATTTAATTTTTTTTACAAAGTAGTCAACTAGCTGAATTTTGAAAGATTTGGACCATGCAACTTATACCTAAAACTAACATAACAGACTATCTTCTCCCTCGTATTGAGACCACCTGCATTTTTTTCCCAAATATTCCAATATACTGTTCAGTTTTCGGTGGTTGGCACAACCTTTTTAACTGACCATTTACATGTTATACAACACTTGTTATTACACTCTTGGTAGGAAACAATTCCACACACACTTCCTTGGCCATCTATTGCGACGTAGCAGTTTTGAACGTTTGGGTTCAAAAATATGAAGTAACCTAAAAAACAAACCAAACGATTTTGTGCTTAATAAAAGGGAATATACAACATTTGCAAACATCGACAAATAAAACTACCAAGTTGTTTACAAAATACCTCACTAGATGTTGTTAATGACAGTCTAAAGCATCCTGTAAAATTATGGCACCTGGTGTGAAGTCATTTTCAAGAAAATGGTATTTTTGTATAAAATTTCCAACGGTGGTCGGCCGACCACCGCTGGAAAAGCTAACTATTTTCCAACTACTGCTTCCGAATTTACCATTTTGTTCAGTCAAAATGTTGTTCGCTATTGGTTTACATGTTCATAAACGGGTGCAGGCCAGCGAGACTGGTTCCCTGACCTAACAATTTTCCGGCATCTATATTTGATCCATTTCATTTTTAGTGGAGTCAGGGAACCAGACTACTTGAACGTTTCTGTTTTCTTGGGCTTTTCCAGCATTTTCGAACACAAAACTTCAAACATGTCAGTGTAACAATATTAGATCTATTATACTAACCCCTCAAATAGTTCATTATAAAAAATAACAGCAAAAGCCAATGATGTTCATTCCCTTTAACAAAATCTGCATTATATTTAAAGTGCATGTACCTGACACTATAAACCTCTAATTGTCTGAATGTGTTATGTCCATTCCTAAAGAGCAAGGAATTATTATTATTATTTTTTTTATTTGCAAGTCTTTGGTCAGTTACAGATTGTTACAATCTTTAGACAAAATACAGTCCTCTCAATAAACCAGTTCGTTATTTCAACTGCACATGCATTTTTTCTTTTATGGAGTGTCTCAAAAAACAACAATGTGCATGCATGAAAACGTGTATTTGCCTATAATAAAGCCTGAAAGTTGAACCCTGGTGGCGCACTTCAGACACCCTCAAACAGGAAATATTAACGTGTAAAAGTAAGGCTTTTGAAATTAGTTTTGGTACATTGATTTCTTCAGAAAATTACCCTCGGAATTTTATGGAAACTGAACAATCGTATGACATGAAAGAGAATATCGTGCCAAGAATTACCTCTCACTTCCGAAACTTCAAATAATTTGTTTGACCCACCAGCCGGGCTAGTTTAGGATAATGTGACTTAGCCTGCCGCTGTTTTGACTAGCATTTGGCTAGCGGGTTTCTAAACACTCCTGTTCATAAATCGCGATTTTATTTACCCGTAACAAAGTTAGAAGAAAAATTTATTTTTGGCGTGATTTTCCGATTTTATTTTCAAGTGCAAAGTGAACCCTTTGAAATGCCCCTGAAAAATAAGAAAATAATTTTCTGACAAAATCTGGCTGGGTATGTAAGTAGAGATAATAATTATTTATCAGAATTTGTCAAGTTTACAGAAATTCTTAATATTAATTTGGAATTTTCCGAGATTTATTCAAGTGCGCCATGTTAGGGACACTCCGCCAATTTGTGCCCAATTTCTGGACGCCACCGTTTTTGAATTTCGGATTACATTTTATGAAACCCAAATTGTTCACAGATGTTAAATAGCAGCATTAATAAGGTAAAAGTACTAGTATTTTACTGCATAAATTTGAGGTTTGTCACAAAGAGGTTTGGCAACACTACACGAGGAAAGTCGGGTAAGCTTCGAAGTGCGCCACGTTAGGGAACACGACTATATACTGAAATTTATATCCTTGTGTCGTCATTCCTTTGTTCTTGTGTACTAAAGTTTTCGAGTTTGAAAGTGTACTTTCAAAATGCTCCTATTTTAACCAGAACTAATTCCCTGGGCTGAAATTCGGACTTATCCCTCACATAAAATACTTCAATTTGCGACGGATCAACACACCTTGGAAATCCCAAGTTTTTGAGTAAAATCCATATATCTATTTCGTGATAACCTTGTGGACACGTATTCACCTATAGAAACTGCCCTGTGGAGACGTATACAATCTTTTGTTCCCTATTGTGCACGTCTCCAGAGGGTACCGTGTAACAGATCTTTGCACCACACACACGGGAACACCCACATTTGTTTATGGTGTAAATCAAAGATTTTCTGTTGTTCCTCTTCCTTTTTTATACTTATAACTTTTTTGCAACAGCTCGGCGGCCATTTTGAAAAAAATTTTTTTAAGCAATAACACCCCAAAACACTGCCACCGCTCACACCACAAAGCTTCACACATTTTCCAATTCTAGATGTGTATACCTCGCCAAAAATCGCTTTGAGCATTGCTCTTTTCGATCATTTGATACTGGTGGCCCAATTTTTTGAACGTTTTTATTTCTGTAGTCATAAGTCACTCTCCCCTCCCCCCCCCCCCCAAAAAAAAACTCACACAATGCACCCCATGAAATCAGGACTAGCAGCGCCATGGTCAGGTAGACGAATCCAGTCATGAAATGCAGAGTGCTGCTGTAGATGGCATTGAAGATGATGGGAGACAGGAAACCAGCCAGGCTCATTAGGCAACCGCTGAAGGCAAAAACAACCCCTATGGAAAGGAACAAGGAAGTGAAAAGTTTTAAGATATGGAGATGGTTACTCTTCGATCGGCACCTGATTTCACGAAGCGCTGCGATGCGTCGCAACTCGAGTTACTACGTGTAACACGTCGCAACTCACGACGCGTCGTATATAATCCATTTCACGAAAGTTGCATTGAGTTGAACGCTTCTTAAGTTCGTTGACAACGGCTTAAAACACGTCGCAAGTTGCGACGTGTCTAGTGGTCGTCGCAAAATAAGAAGATTCCGTTTTTAGCCAGTTTTGTGCCATATAAGCATTACATAAACGAGATTATAATACCGAGGCCTGTGTGTGAAGTTGTAAATAGAAAATTCATTGAATAATTATGAATTAGCCTAGAATATTGCAGTTGAAATTTCAAAGTAGCTACACAGTCCACTGAGAGCTCGTTCTCCTTTAAAATTGCATCGCACGGCCGCCATTTTGTCCTACGTTTTTTAACCAATTTCGCGCGGAGATCTTACGACTCTTTGTTTGAATACCAGACGACTATTTACTGAACGCTGACTTCATACATAAAACAGTCACCGAGTTGTGCTATAAATACACATACGATGCGTCGCACTTACGACTTGTTTTTGTGAAATGGATCGCAAGACGCGTCGCAGCTGCAACGCATCGTAGGGAAACGATGCGTCGCAGCGCTGCGATGCATCGTAAGTTACGATGATTTTCGTGAAATCGGGTACACACACGAAATTGACCATGAAAACTGTGCGAATGGCGAAAGACCAATACATCAGCCTCTGCCTCATGACACTTTGACTAATAAGCCTCTGTACTAATGACATCACACTTTATTTACATGTGCACTTTCCTATGGAACCATGGAGGCCCACGGTCCACTGAGCACCATAGGAAAGCACACATGTAAACAAGTGTGACGTCATTGGTACTGAGGCTTATTGTAGCCAAGATTAACCCTCCCTCTCTGCCTGGCAATTTCAAGGAGGCCAGCCCAGCAATGAAAAATAAATCAAGTGACTGTTGTTACAGTTGAATGCTCCTGCCTTCATAAAGCAGGATTCACTGGCTGTGATTGTTATGAAACCCGATATAGCTATGCTTTGACTGTAGGAGATTGATAAGGCAGCTGTGCCTACCATTCACCTGCTTTTGTCTATTGAAGGCATTTGACTGTCACAGTGCCTACAAGAAATATGGTCCGACTGTTGGTGACTTGCCTGTGCAAACTAACGGCATGACAGGGAACAGGATTGGATTTTTGACTGTCTGTGACTGATCAAACAAAAGGAGGGTTAAGGTCCACAGGCTTGGACAAATGTCCATCTTGCCTGCACGCATGTACATCACATGCGGCTGCAACATAAAGATTTTACATTGAGAGACACATGTGCAGCTGCTCAGAAGACCAATGGGGACGGCCTAATGAAACGGTCTATTGATGAAAAGTAGGTCATTGCTGCCGTCTTTTTCTGCAGATGCCTTGCAAGTTCCATCCCTCTGCAAGTGCCATTCCCTGCAGGTGTCATTCCCCCCCTTCAGGTGCCATCCCCCTGCAGGTGCAGTGCCATCCCCCCTGCAGGTGCCGTCCCCTGCAGGTGCCATTCCCTGCAGGAGCCATCCCTTGCAGGTTCCATTTTGAGATGTAGACAAATTAACCAATTCAGAAAACAATATTTTCCTTGCTTATCTACTTCAACCACAATCTTACTGTAACCACACTCTTTCCTGATTCAAAATTCCAAGTGGGGACACTACTAAGACTTAACCATTAGAATTTCCACTATCGTCTCAATAAAATTGCCCCGAAAAGAAGAGTCTTCAATGCAAACACAGATTGTGAGGAACTAACCTTGTTGATTAGGGCCCACCAGGTTGGCCATGCTTGTCCTGCACAGCGGGTCGTCAGAAACGTAAAAATCCGGCTGCAAACCTAAAAAAAATAAATGAATCAAAAGAATCTGTTGAAGTAAGATTGGAGTTGAATTGGAAAAAGGCGTAGACAGGGTAAGGTGCGCTCAGTCCCCCGCTCCAGGCCTTTGACCCCTCTTGCTCCCAGTGGCATAGGGGTTCCCCCACCAGTGCTTGCACGCCCCACATCAGTATTGTCCGAAAAAGAAATTAAAATGAATACTGTAGCGGCCTCTGGCGCCTACCTTTTCTCAACACGAGAGGGCGCACTCAATCTTGGCCACTGACTCGAGGCGAGGAAAGCACATTTTAGAAGAACCATTTCGTCACCCACGGCCAGCCCTAGTTTTAACGGTTTTAAAGTAGTTCTAGTTGGATTTTAGATCCCAGTTCTATTCTAAGTATTTCTATAGTCGTTTTCTGGGTAGATTATAAACCCTCGTTTGAGAAATTTAAAGCCGCAGGCGTTTCCACGCCAAATATTTCGAGTAGGAGCGATCCCTGTATTTAGCTTCTGTGGCCGGCTCGGTCATACAGCTCTACGGTCTCCGTACACTCATACCCAGGAGCCATCCCTTTATTTAAGGTTTTTGAGAAAACCACTGTAGACTCGTTTATAAGTTCATTTTAGACTACACCTGCTCTTACTAAGGTCACTTTCATGATTTTAGAGTTTGATTTGTACGACATACTTAATTTTGTCATTGCTTATTTTTCATGACAGTTCACCGTGGAATAAAGACTAAATGGAAACCGAAGCTCTGACCTTTGGCCATCGTGTTCTTTTTTTCTGCGGTTGGGTTATCTGGTTCAACTTAAGTTACCACTTCCCTGAAGCTACACTTATGCAGATGCCAGAACAAATACCACCTCCAGAAAAAGTTTAACTGAACCCCAGCTACGCCGCTTGCCAGTTTTTAACAGTTGTGTAGCAGATTTAGCAAGTGACTGCGTAGCAGCTGCTTCGTCAGGGCCCAATTTCATAGCTCCGCTAACCACAGAATTCCGCACTTTCGATCACCATTTTGCGCTAACCGCGCTAGCAGAATACAACTGTGCTAATCCTGTAAGCACAGAATCCTTAGTTACGGGTTGTACGGATGTGCAGAAGCCAAAATTCCTCCCATCACGTGAAATACGCTTACCGTAAACAAAGAATTTTCTGCTATAGTAAGCAGGGATTGTTTTCGCTAACTGTAAGCAAGCCAAGAAATTGGGCCCAGATTCCAACCGGCCATCCGACCCCCCGGCAAGAATGTTTGAATCTACCCAATGCAAAAAATCTTCCATATAACAGGGTGTGAAATCTCAGCTTTAAAAGCTGATTTCAGCGGTTTTTTTTTTTTTTTTGGATTTCAGCCTTTTTTCAGCTTTTTTCCCTCACTTGCTGTGTACAAAAGTAGGAGATTTCCAAAGTTCAGCTGTTTTAAACCTTTTTGCAGCTGTTTTCAGCTATTTTTATCAGTGGTCACCCACACCCCTGATATAAAATAGTAAAACCTACCCAAGTACAGCGTCAAGTAATTCTGGGCGACGGCCGTGATCACCAGGGAGGCGACAATGGTGAGAGAGGCAAGATGCATCGCCCAAAATTTGGACAGATACTTGCAGACTACAGTTCCTCCGACAATACACCTAAAAAACTGAAACAATAAAAAAGACAATAAAAAACCCCATAAATTTAATTAAAAATATCAATCGACCGATGTGGTCAATCAACCTGTTTGGACTTGCAGTCCAAATTATTCCCAAGATTTGAATAAAAAAGTTGAGAATTTCGCAGTTTTGAAACAGTTTCGTAAAATGGAATTTGAGTCGGAATGATGAACATTTAATTTTGGGTTTCGCCCTTCACAATGTATTGTTTTTAAACACTGTATACTCAGGTGGGACTCAAACCGGATTGGAACCACCCAGCCAAGCCCCAGCAAGCTTGGTGGTCGAGTCGTAAGACGTCTGCACAAGTACGCAGGAGGTCGTGGTTCGAGTCCCACCTGAGTTTTTTTTTTTTTTTACAATCACTTGGGACAAAACTGAATTGAACAGTTTGCGGTGACATAATGTAAACAAGTGGCTGTTGCTAGTCAATGGAGAACTACACAACGTTTAATAAAGTATGAAACCAAAAATCCCTTTGGTCGACCTGTTACACTTCTTTTATTTCGCCGCTGCTCTTGGAAGCCAGTTTGAAATGGGTGCAAGCTTTATTCATCTATGTTTTGAACTCTTAGTCATAAATACCCAGACAGTTTACCCTTCCTATTGGTCGAGAGCCCGTCACGTGACCAGTTTTAAATGGCTGATTAAGACCAGCTGGCTGGTCTTTAACACTTTTCCAGTGTCACACATGAAACTGTGACTCCTTTGAAATCCGGTGCCTTTTTGTTACCGTTTTGATGGTTGAACGTTCACATGCACACATAGGCATGCGCAATACTACCACTGAGTCCGTATTTCATAGTCCTAATTCCCCCCCCCCCCCCACGGGTCTTCAAACGTCTTATCCCACATCACAGCAGCCCACAATTGTTAATTGTTTACATGTTAATAGCAACCGATGGCTAGCCTTTGCCACCTTCTGGCTTTATAGCAACATGTTACACAGTAGAAGGTGCTACAAATCGTGATATTTTGACTGGTTAGCTACATGTGTACGGCAAAAGTTCTTGCCACGCTTGTAATAATAGGGCTCGTTCATGACGGCCATCTCTGTAGGAGAACTGCAACTGCGTATTTTACGCAATCAAGCACGCATTGCGCAGTGTTGAAAATGTTCCAAACACATGCACTTGTTGCTCGAAATTTGTTCAAAATACGACGCAGTCGATGCGCGTTGTGCAAGTTGACGCTCAAAATGCGGATACACGTGGATGGTCTGTAGGAAATGACGTCATTTGAACGAGACCTATTGTTGTTTTTCCAAAAAAAACAACAGCAACTCAAATATTGCAAACCCGTAGTTCACATACCTATCCCATAAATACCGTTCATAGTGCCTTGGTAGTATCCCTCATACAGCGGATCCATACAAAACGGCTTCCCCTGTATTGTACAGCACACTGATAGCCACCCACGCCACAGAAACCAGTATGTTGGAGAAAATGATATAGTTGAAACCGGCCAGGAGCCAACCACGGAGTTTGTCCTGCGTGAACACGCGACGGACGTTCTTAACGATGTTCAGTGGATTCGAGGGGACTTCTTCCTCGCTGGAGTTGACGAAAGTACGGTGTCGGCCACGCGTCGGTCCGGCAAAAGACAGATTATGAAGCCTGCCGTGATCACGACGAAACCGATGACAGACAGGTAGGGGTGCCTCGAAGCCGAATGTTCTGATGATGAACCCCAGCGAAAACTGGCATATGCTCCCCGCAAAGCAGTAAAAGACGTCGATCAGGATGAAGCGGATAGTACGCTCCCGACTCTCCGGCATCGTCACGTCCGAGTTGTACCCTGCACAGCCAACGATGAAGGTCGTGATGTCGCCGCCGATCCCTTGCGCAAGGCTGCCAAAGATCAGAACGTACAAGGAAGATGGAAGTAAACGACAAGCAGGTTGACGGCGCTGTTCGCAGCAAGGCCAACGCAGGGCATGACGAGCGCGACATGGCGGCCGACTTGTCGCTCAAGCGCCCCCCAGATGTTTGCCGAGAATATCACAGCGAGGGCAAGGTTGCGGTGAGGTACAGGGACCATACGCTGGACTCCTGCTGTACCTTCTCCCGAGTCTATACTCAGGACTGGACTTGTTGGCGTCACACTTGGACTGGTGAAGTTGACGACTCCCAGCTGCTCTATGATTCGCTTCTCAATGTATTGCGTCTGGGTGGGGATGATGGGGCTATAGGCCAACATGTACACAATCAGTACATGCTCGGTGGCCACATATTTGTACAAACCTCGCCCAATAGCCATTTCGAATGTCCTCCTCGTAACAACCTTTTTACCATTTAAAGCAAAATGTGCTCTTTCAAAAGAAATTTGCCAAGTTGAACAGTGCTATAACATCAAATACTTTAAATTTGCATATTTTCCAGATTGAGTCTTCACAAGTCATCCGTGTACGTGTGCCATGTACAAGTGCAATCTCGATACTCCTTCAGATCTACAAAATCTTCCAACTTCAAAGTTTTGCTTCCACTCGTCAGCACAGAAACTGTTTACAAATGAAACGGCAGATGTTGGCTGCCGATCATGTTTCTGGAAGGCTGTTCATCGCCTTGTGTAGGCGTTCACAATTCTAACTGGAATCTTCTGATGAACATCAGCGTTCAGATATTTCTGCAAGCCAAGCATCTGTGTCTGTAGAAAAAAAGAACAGATAAAACTGTTTCATGACAAGTGTGGTACAAGAGTACAGTCGTTGGTGCATCCCCCGATCTACATGCGGAGTTGTTTTTTTTTGACACAGGTCATGCAGTCACGGTCATGTCCCGGCCCCTGCTTCACGTACGTGTTTGTATGTACATGTATATGGTGTACGTCCATACTACCATAGACAATGCGTTAGTTTGATCACAGCCATAACGTTATTGAATGATCGCTGTATGATGTCTGTGCTATAGTGGTTCAATTTCACGGATTTCAACCCAAAAAATAATTGTGAGTATCATTGAAGCCCCATTACTTCGTCTTTGACATGTGGAGATGCCAGTACATGTAGGTGCTTTCAAAGGTATTTTTTGTGAAGTATTTTGCGTGATTTTTGTGGTGAACTTTGAAATTGCAACATTGGCAATACTTCCATGGTGGGACGCTAGTACGACAGACTAACATCCCAAATGTCAAAAAGGAGTTCTAGTGCCCCAGTTAGTGGGACTAGTGGCAATCTAGCTGGAGTTACCTCAGCCCTAAATTTTATCATTGGGTTGTCAAAATGACAACCCAATGCTAAATTTAGGGCTGAGGTAACTCCAGCTAGTGGCAATCATAGATTGAATTGCATCAAGTCGAGGCAAATATCCTCGAGTCCACCTAGTCCGAGTACTAGGACTCTACGTATCGCTTTTTAACATTTGGACATGGTGCTGATTTGGACATGGTTGGGCGATAGCACCATGTCCAAATGTCACAAAAGCGATCTGTAGAGTCCTAGTTACCCGGACTATACGAGTCACCATAATTGACGCAGGTAGGCCTAACGTTTGCAATGCATGTGTGTTGTCCAACGCAAAGTGAATGCGAGTAAGTCAAAACATATCCTCAACATTTTAGGGGGTGCAACGAAATAAATCTGTACCAGAAGATCAAAATTCGACAAAAGGTAATCATAATTAATGCATACTTCAAGTTGTCTCAAACTTCGTTCAACTGGTCAAAAACTCAAATGCTGGTAGGCCTACCAGAAATAAACACAAAAACAACACACGGTTGAGTTGTTGTCTGAATACCGGTTGTGCGACTGCATTCAATCGAACCATGGAGGTATCGTCAGACCTCCTAAAGCTACGCGCTCCTATTTCTGCGAACTCGCCTTTAGGCCAAAAAAGTCTCTGGTTTTCTGTATGGAGCTTGCCCAAAAAGTGGTGCGGCGACGCGGCTTTGTTTTTTTTTTACGTGATATTTTTTTGCTTCAAATGTCGGCTGATGACTGCAAATGGTGCCCGACTAAACTTAGTGCAAATATATGGGAGTCCAGAGAGGCCACATAAAGCTTATTCTCGACCATAACCCAATCTAAAAACACGTTAAAATTGTGCAGCAGCATGATTCCAGTCAAACCAGTGAGTTTGGCGGTTTTGAGACATCATTTTTCATTGAAAAAAAACTGTTTCATTTTGCCAACGTGCATGCATAGCAAAGGCGACGCGTGCGCATACCAGAAACCGGAGACTTTTTTTTTGGCCTTTGGACATGTTGGATGCAGCCTCATACAAGCAACCTGTCGGCTGGCTCCTTAGGCCGAATAAAAAAAAACCATGTTTCTCGTCCGGGTGTTTGAAAAAAAAGGAGGAAGCGGGGCTTTTTATTTTTTGTCATGTTTTATTTTCAACGAAATAATTTTTAAAAAATGAATAACATAATATAATACGTTTTGCGGGGTGAATATACAAGAGAGGTCACCCACTGAAAAAAAGCGCTCTCTCTTGCCCACAATATTTCAAAAAAGGCGTATATGGACCTTATAGGTAGCAGTCATCAAGGCAATACATTTGTCTTGCTGTGACATACCAGAAATAACCTTTTTAAGCACTCATTGTTACTGAATTAAAATAACGAAGGATGCCCTATAAGATGGCCGCTATACGCATAAAGTCTACCCATGAGGTCTAAGAAATACGAAGGCTTGCTCAAGTTTAAGGAATAAGTCAATCTGGCTGAAATGTCATCATGGCCTACGTCAAAGTGAAAATGCACAAAAAGCTGCTCCGTCCCATAAATTCAAAACTTTTATTTTTCGATTCATTGACATTCAACGGTTTGTATTAAAAAAATGTTATCAAAAGCTTGGAAGACACAACGACTATCCTCTATCAATAGAATTTCTGTAGAAAATAACTATGCAGTTTTTCTAGTATATATTTTCCTGCTCAGTCTTGCCATTGGCTTTGTATTTCGTTAATCTTTCAGAAATTTTGAGATAATTAACACACGTTTAATATGCAACTCAAAATAATTATAATATACACGACTACATGTAATTGTCGCACAGATTTTTCATATTATTCAGGGAATTATTGTATTAAGGGAATTATTGTTGTTAATGTATTTTTACTCTGTTGGACGGTTTTTTAATCAAATTTGGTCGAGTTGAAGAATAAAAATGAAATTCACATGTTTATTTAATGTACTGGTATAAGAAGAGATATGTTGCTGAAATGAATTATCATTAAGAAAGTCATTAACGAACCGAAACCACGTGCCACGTAAAGGTGCCGAGCGGTAAAAGTACGGTGAAAGCTGTCTTCGATCGACGCTTGCAACAAGCCGTACGTGATTCTAGTGCTGCTGCATGCAGCATGCTTTCCCCAGCGGACCACACCATTTGAGGTAATATAGGGGTGTACTATCTTTGAAACAACATTTCCGCTGTTAAAAAAGAAAAGAAAAAAGAGGACTAATACTTTTTATGGTGTCCGAAACATTTCTTTATTCGAAAATCAGTTGTTCAACGTCACAATATAATTTTTGTACTTGAAATGTATTCAAGAAACGATGTAAACCTCAAAACAGGGACTACATCACCCCTTACAAATTAATGGATTCGTCCATGAAATGGCAGCATCGTTTTGGTTTTGACTATTTTCGAAGAAGTTACGATCGAAACTTGAATACTGCTCGTTAGTAATCACAACAATTCGATAAGTTTTGAGATAAAAACGGACCTGTATATTTTTAGGACAAAACAAATCAGCATCTGTTGCCACAAAGCAAGATTTGTAAGTAGCGCTCCCGTCAGACAACACACGCAATGGGGGAAAATCACGGTGGGTTGCCGGCGCGGCGCAGGCTGCCGCGCGCCGGGCGATGTATTAACTTTTACGGCCGGGACCGGACGGGGCAGCCGGCAGCAATTCCCGGTGATTATTTCTCATCATCAATTTCCACATTTGTTTGTGAGAGTATCGATTGTAAATGATTTGATACAACTTTTGTGGCCCTTTTTATAGCTTCTGTAGTGTAAATGGAACTGGTTCAGAGCATTTTGGCTAGAATTTGGAGGCCTTACAAAATTGAAACCGCTGCTGTCGGTGCGGCTTATACGCCGGTGCGGCTTATACGCCGACTTCAAATCTTTATTTGCAGATTTTTGCGTGCTGCGGCTTATACGCCGCGCGCGCTTATATTCCGAAAAATTACGGTACTACTTTTAATTGGATAGTTGTATTTTTGGGGAGACAGGTGTTTTTACCAATTAATCTGAATAAATAAAGTATTATTCCATCCTGTATGCTCATTGTCTCTGTCCCTTTGCCTAAATTCCCTTTAACGCGTTTCTATCATCCGTTCCCCCTGTGAGCGTCCTTCGTTTGTCTTCTAAGGCCCCCCCCCCCCCCAAAAGTCTCCGGTTTCCTGGTATGCGCCCGCATCGCCGTAGCCATCGCGTCGGCAAAATGAAACGTTTTTTTTTCAATGAAAGATGATGTCTCAAAACCGCCAAACTCACTGGTTTGACTGGAATCATGCTGCTGCACAATTTTTTAACGTGTTTTTTAGATTGGGTTATGGTCGAGAATAAGCTTTATGTGGCCTCTCTGGACTCCCATATATTTGCACTAAGTTTAGTCGGGCACCATTTGCAGTCATCAGCCGACATTTAAAGCAAAAAAATCAGGTAAAAAAAAAAAAAAGCCGCGTCGCCGCAACCACTTTTTGGGCAAGCTCCATACCAGAAACCGGAGACTTTTTTTTTTGGCCTTAGACATGTTAGAAGACAACGAAGACGCTCACAGGGGGAACGGAATGATAGAAACGCGTTAAAGGGAATGAAACGAACTCCAGTGATGTGCACTGAATGAGACACAATAGCATGAATCTGGCAAAGGGACAGAGACAATGAGCATACAGGATGGAATAATACTTTATTTATTCTGATTAATTGGATAAAACACCTGTCTCCCAAAATACAACTATCCAATTAAAAGTAGTATAACCAAATTTGATTAAAAAACCGTCCAACAGAGTAAAAATAATTAACAACAATAATTCCCTTAATTACAATAATTCCCTGATTAATATGAAAAATCTGTGCGACAATTACATGTAGTTGTGTATATTATAATTATTTTGAGTTGCATTATAACAGTGTGTTAATTATCTCAAATTTCTGAAAGATTAACGAATACAAAGTCAATTGCAAGACTGAGCAGGAATACTAGACAAACTGCACAGTTATATTTCTACAGAAATTCTATTGATAGAGGATAGTCGTTGTGTTTTCCAAGCTTTTGATAGCATTTTTTAATACAACCGTT